ACGACCATCACAAAGCAAGAGACCCGAGAACTAGAAAGGCGAGGCTCACCACCCATTTATCCCTCTGCCTTTCAACCAGCCCCACATGTGATTATCGGCCAGGCTGGCACAATTAACTAACTCAATGGCGAATCCAGGAAACTTTGTACATAGTGTCTGACCGCATGATAGAGTGCAAAAGACGCAGGAGACAGAGGCAGTGTGGTTGCATGTAGGCTAGGATGGCTGGGGTGGCCACCTAACCCTCCTCACTCTTCCCCCGGCCCAGGGCAATTCTGGAGGCCCCAGTGACGGAGCCCATCTTCCTGGAGCAGCTGCAGGAGCTCGATGCCAAGGCAGCCGCAGTCAGAGAGCAGGAGGCCAGGGGCACAGCGGCCTGCGCAGACGTCCGAGGGGTGCTCGACCGGCTCCGGGTCAAGGTGGGGCGTGGGGGTGGGTACCCCCGAGACTGCTGGGACGAGTCTCCCTCACACCTGCATCTGGATTTCCCTGGCAGAGCTCACCGAAGTTCCACCTTAACGTCAATTAGCATAGATCATTTCGGTTTCCTTTGGGTCCCCCTGAGAGTCTTCCGGGACACTGAAGAGTGGTCCTCCAGTTCTCCTCCTCGGCTCAGCACCCCTCACTCTCCCGCACTCCGCCCGAACAGGGAGGGTCTTGCCACTTCATGGCGTGCTTGGTTCCCCGGATCTAGGCTGTGACGAAGATCCGGGAGTTCATCCTCCAGAAGATTTACTCCTTCCGAAAACCAATGACCAACTACCAGATACCCCAGACGGCCCTGCTGAAGTACAGGTCACGTACCACCGGAAGAAGGGCACAGGGCGGCTGCTGGGCTTCTGAGCATCCCAGCGAGAGCACCTGGTGTCTGGGCAGGCGGCCTGACTCGACTCTGGCCCTCCAGGTTCTTCTATCAGTTCCTGCTGGGCAATGAGCGAGCTACGGCCAAGGAGATCAGGGATGAGTACGTGGAAACACTGAGCAAGATCTACCTGTCCTACTACCGCTCTTACCTGGGCCGACTCATGAAGGTGCAGGTGAGGCCAGGGAGGGCATGCCTGGGCACACGGGCTGGGAAGAGCCATGTGGAGAGGGGATTCTTCCTGGCTCTGGGAGAAGAGACGGCCACCAGCCCTCTTTCCTGTTGTGTCTAGTATGAGGAGGTGGCAGAAAAAGACGACCTGATGGGCGTGGAAGATACGGCCAAGAAAGATATCCTACAACTGCAGGGCCCTCGCACCGGGCCCTTGGGAGTGGGCAGCCCGCCGGCCTTTGGGTGTAGGACCCGTGAGCATCTCGGGGCGGGCTTCCCTCCGCCAGAAAGCTGCATAGAGGATTTTAGCACACAGCTTGGGCCTGTGACCTCAGAGGATGTGGATGTACCCTGAAGGCCCTTCCCAGGGGCCAAGTCCTGGGGCTGGGAAAGAGGATGGGGGGCTAAGGAGCAGCTAAGGCCGGGCCTGGCTGGTGGGGCCCCGGAAGCTTCGAGTGTTGGGGCCCAGCTGTGGTCTCATGGTTTTCCCTGACTGACCCTTCCCACGATTCTTCTCGAAGCCATCGCTTCGCAGCAGGAACACCATCTTCACTCTGGGGACCCGTGGCTCCGTCATCTCCCCCGCTGAACTAGAGGCCCCCATCCTGGTGCCACACACAGCCCAGCGAGGCGAGCAGAGGGTATGACGAGGCGCAGGCTTCCTCCACAGAAGGCACTCTGGACAAGGGGGCAGGAGAGCACCTCCCCTCCTGTGTGTCAGACCAGCCTGTGTGCTGTGGTCCGAGAGGGGTGGGGACTATTGACTTGAGAGGGGAGAGATAAGCTGGGGGGTTGGGGCAAGTGTTGAGGCAGATGGGAGGGCCACTTCCCCTGTCCCTTATTCCCCCCACCTCTTCAGGGTCCACAGTCAGGGCTTGAGTCTGGTGGGCAGGAGAGCAATGAGAAGGGTCTTGGCCTCCTAGTCCCCAGGTGTGCTGGGTTGCTGGCCACCCCCTGGGGATGAATGTTGGGCTCCATCGCCCCTGCCTCTCCTCTCTACCTCTCCCGCCCTAGTATCCATTTGAGGCCCTCTTCCGCAGCCAGCACTATGCCCTCCTAGACAATTCCTGCCGCGAGTACCTTTTCGTCTGTGAATTCTTTGCTGTGTCTGGCCCGGCTGCGCACGACCTCTTCCATGCTGTGATGGGCCGGACACTCAGCATGACCCTGGTAAGAGCCCTTTCCCCCGGCTCCTTACAGTCCAAACACGTGTGTTTGTCCCTCACACCCATCGCTCGCAATTCTCTGTGCTCGAACCACAGAAGCACCTGGAATCCTACCTGGCTGACTGCTATGACGCCATTGCTGTTTTCCTCTGTATCCACATTGTCCTCCGGTTCCGCAGCATTGTGGCCAAGAGGGACGTTCCCGCCCTGGACAGGTCACTGAATTCCAGTCCTTGGGCACTCAGCCTTATACAACTGCCCCTGACCCTCGGGGCTCCTGCTCATCTGACATCAGGGACCTCTGTTCTGTTCCTCTGCCCTGACAGCTGGACTACTGCTTTCTGAGTCCTCTCTCACCCCCACCCCCACCCCCTTCAGACCCCCTCCCCTGCCGTGTTCCCCCCCACCCCACCCGTCAGCTGACCTCCCATCGCTTTAAGTCCACAGGTACTGGGAGCAGGTGCTTGCCTTGCTGTGGCCTCGGTTTGAGCTGATCCTGGAGATGAATGTCCAGAGTGTCCGAAGCACTGACCCTCAGCGCCTGGGGGGACTGGATACCCGGCCCCACTATGTGAGGGAGGGCCGGGGTTCCTGGAGGGCTGGCCTTCAAGCTCCACTGTGGGGCTTGGCCTTGGTTCCCTCGTGGGCCTGGCTGGATACTTAGCCGTACCGGGAGGGGCCGCCTCGGAGTGGGCCAGGCTTAGGGTGGGTTGGGACCTCTTAGGAAGCATTAGAGGTAGGGCCACCGGGAGCCCGGTTGGCTGGCTTCAGGGGGATTGGGAGGTTGCATGAGTTGGGCCAGGAGGGTGATAGGATTTCTTTTCCTCCCTCCGTCCTTTCACCCAGATCACACGCCGATATGCCGAATTCTCCTCTGCTCTTGTCAGCATCAACCAGACAATTCCCAATGAGCGGACCATGCAACTGCTGGGGCAGCTTCAGGTGGGAGAGGGCAGGCCAGGCCTCCTGCAGCGCCGGCAGCCCTGGGAGGGCCTCCTCACGGCCCCCTTCCTGGCCTTTTCAGGTGGAAGTGGAGAATTTTGTCCTCCGAGTGGCAGCCGAGTTCTCCTCCAGGAAGGAGCAGCTGGTGTTTCTGATCAACAACTATGACATGATGCTGGGCGTGCTGATGGTAACAGGCCCCTCCCTGTGCCCCGGCCCAGAGCTCTTGGTCTCAGGGCAGAGAGGACGCCTCCCTTGCTCAGTCGTTGGTCCCCGCGGTCTAGCACCGTGTCTGGCTAAGTCTGAAACCCACTGCCGTCAGGCGGACTCTGACTTATCGTGACCTTGTAGGACAGACTAGAACCGCATCTGTGGGCCCCTGAGGCTGTAAATCTTCGCAGCCTCATCTTTTACCCACAGAGCGCTGGTGGGTTCAAACTGCTAAACTGCTTTCAGTTAGCAGCTCAACGTGCCCCGGGCGGCTTTGGCTAAGTCTAGTCCATGTGAAGTGAAGACGATCCCTGAGTGAAGAAGGCCTGCTTTGTCCCCCTCAGGAGCGGGCGGCCGATGACAGCAAGGAAGTGGAAAGCTTCCAACAGCTCCTCAATGCTCGGACACAGGTAGGAGGGTGCTGAGGCAAGGCGAGTTCCACGGGCGCGGGTGGCAGTTCATAGCCCTCAATGCACACATTTAAATTCTGTTGGCCTTGAGAACCCTCACAGCAGAACATGTGTCCCCAGTTTCTGCAGGAGCACTCCGCGTTGTACCGCCATTCTCACCCCCCTTTTCTACATGGCTCACCCCATTAACTCACTGCCGTCTGACTTCTGGGTTTTTTTCTTTCTTTTCTTTAAGCAAAAGGGAAGAAAAGAAATGTATTGGAGCCCATACGGGAAACCCTAGAGGGGCCCAGCACACCCTACTGTGCAGGCTTGCTCAGCAAAGGGTCACACCATTCGCTGTACCCCCATGTCCCAGAGGGACTCCCCTTGAGTCAAGCCCCAAAGCCAGGACTGGCGGGGTGTGGGGACGCCATCTAAGCTCTCATGTAACCTCTCACGTGGCTTTTTGTCAGCTCGAGCCCATACAGGTGGTTCTTAAAAGAGCATGCTATGCAAAGCGACAGTTTTACTGGTTAAACTAGAGAATGTACTGCTGTCCTGTTTTACATATGTCCACGTCTTCTTTTTCATTGCTGTCTACTATTGTATTGTGTGACTGTCCGTATTCCTCAGTCAGTGGGAAGTGGGTTTGCTTCAAGTTTTTTTTTCCACTAGGAGCATTGTTGTTTGAATTTTGATATGTCTCTTTCAGCACACCCAGATGTTGCGAGCCTTTATCAAAAATTTCTCTTGGGACCAAAGTTTATTAGTGGTTACCAGGGGTGGTATGAAAACGATATGTGGATATCATCAGAGTTCCTCTGCCACCTGAGGGGGAGGTCATTAACATCAGCCAAGTCTGATTCCTGAGTGGAGGCGACGTAGCTGCTCTCCAGCCTCTTGACCAATTCTGCCACCACTCCCTCGTGTAGCACGCTGCTCCTCTGGCTGGGCTGGTCATTCGTTGCAGCGGCCACGGGACACTCAGGGACACCCAGGGACACCCACGATCACAGAGAGTCGATAGGGGAAGTAACCAGTTACCATTCAGGATTAAGAACAGCACGCTGTGATCGGGATGGAATGAGGAAGCCCAGAGGCAGTCTCCCTTCTGCATACAGAAGAGCCCTGCAGCGCGCCTCTTGGGCCCCTCAGCACAGTCTCTCTCTCTCTCTTTAGATGTGTGTGTGTGTGTGTGTGTGTGTGTGTGTGTGTGTGTGTGTGTTTCTTGTGATTTGGGCGAGTTTGTGTAGCAAATTGATTTTTCATTCAACAGTTTATAAGACCTTTTGCTCCAATCTTGGGCTTCAGCTCCCCCTCGGGTTCGGGCTCTGCCCTGCTCAGTCAAATGCGACCAGATCCTCGGCTTTGAGACTGAGTGCCCAGATGCAGCCCCACTCCGCCAGCAGGCCTCTTGCCCTCACACTCTGGGGGCAGGCATGCCAAATGTACTCATCTTCCTGTGTGGGCCAGGAAGCCCACCTCACTGTTTTGCTGGCAGTGTTTAGGACAGTACATCTTAAAAACTGAACACCTGTGAGGGACCACCTGAGATTGACAGCATCAGCAAATTGCACACCGCACACGTATTACAAACACTGAGATGGGCAGAACTCAAGACCACGTACAAGGTGTCACAAGTGGACCCAGCGTGGGGCCCAGCAAGCAAGTTGGACAAAAGTAGGGAGGTCCTATTACACCAGCCTGGTGGTGGACAGTTAACAGGATGTTTGTGGACAGAGGTCTGTCTACTTTTTCTCAATGTGTTGTTTGAAATAAGTGAATTCATTGGGGGGTGGGAAGGACATCCGAGGTGTGGTTCCCTGTAACTTAAATATGCCCTAAGTCTGAGGCTACCTGTGCAGCGTTGACTAGTTGGATAGAAGTGGGACATCACTTGGTATCTTAAACATTTAGAATAATTGAAATGTAGACTCACTCCTTTAGGACTTACTGGTGACGTGGACCACTTGTTATCACGTACTGATCCTCTTTCTCCCTTATTGTTTTGTCTTAAAGCCTGTTACGTCTGTGATATTAGCATAATTCTGCCAGCTTTATTTTGGTTGTTATTTGCTTATTATAGATCTTTTCATTCTTTTACTTTCAGTCTTCTGTGGTCTTACATTTTAAGTATCTTTTGTAAATACCATATACAAGGGGGCTTTAAAAACTTTGTGGAGAAATGGAATTAAGGGATAATGGATATGGCTTAGTTTTTCATAACTTATCTGTACGTATTCTTAACAATTGAAAGAAATCTCCTCTGTGAAGCATCCATTCAGTCCTTTGTTGATGTGAAGGGGTTCCTTAAAAAACAAAACAAAAAACACACCCCAGAATTTCCCCCCAAAAAACTATGTATTTAAGTTCATGAATTCTTGTTTTTGTTTGTGTGAGTAGGTCTTCATTCCACCTTTCTCATGAATAGATAGCTTTGCTGCTTCCTTGTCAAAGTCTAGGTTAACACTTTCACATTTAGATATTTAAGCCATAAACATCTGACGATTGTTCCTTTGCAGGGAACAGGGCCTTCTCTGGCTTCTGGTTTGGGGCACTCGGCAGTTTCGCCACCTAGTGTCTAGATGTGAATGTCTCTCTCTATCACTTGATCGCTGTGGTTTCCTGGGTCTTTAGATTTGTGGTTTTCATTATTTCTGGAAATTTCATCATCAGCATCTCCTTACACATCGTTTCTCCTCCATTCTTTCGCGTTCTCTTCTTCTGGAATCTGACTAGTTGGTAGGTTAGATTTTCCCGTGCTGTTCTTTCATTTTGAGTAAAACACACATGCGATTTGATGATACAGGAAATAGATCTACTCCACCTGGACAGTTAGGGGACCCAGAGAGAATCAGCGCTTCACTAGCCTCGATTCTGTAATCCCACAAAGACACACCTAACCAGTGGACCCTGCCGCGAGCCGCTGACGTGTCACAGGATTGGCCATAGGGCAGGGGCCAGCTGTGGTCAGTGCCCCTGTCCTCCTTGAGATTGGCTGCGGATTGGTATTGTGTGGGAAAGCTGGGTCCCTCTGGCCACTCCTGTTGTCAAAATGTTCTCATACATACTTTTGCTGTGCAGGAAGCTTAAAGTTTACCCAAGGCTAGACCAGTGCTACCCAGTAGAATTACAATTCGTGCCACAGATGTGAGCCACCGAGGTGATGTTAGGCGTTCACTAGGGACAGTGACCACGGCCACCGGGGCTCAGACACCAGCTGTGCGGGTGATGCAGGAGCAGGTTCCACCACCTTCTGTTGTGCCTAGGTCAGCGTGACTGGAGCCAACATGATGGCAGCTAGCAACATTAGAAAAGGAAAAAGAATATTTTGTAACTCACCACGGAGCCCCAATAGCTTATAATCCAGTAAGTGCTTGGTCACTGACTGCAAGGTTGATGGTTCGAGCTGGCCCAGCAGTTCTGCAGGAGAAAAGCTGGCGCCCTGCTACCGGAAAGACTTCGGCCTATCAGCTGGGCTCCCTGTGAGTGGGAATTGACAGCACCTGACCCTAATAACACACCTACAAACACGACCCTTTCAGCTTCACGAACCCTCAGCCACTCCTCACAAAACTGCACCTGTAGCAACTCACAGTTTGATTTCCTCCGAACCTACATTGTTTCCTTCCAGCTCCACTTACTTGAAGTGAAATTCTACTATCATCACCACCTCATCTGGATCAGGAGTTGTTTTAAAAGCAGAGCCATAAGAGGAATGTAGCACTCTTTAAAAATGAACAACTAAGTATCACTTAACAATGTAGTACTCAGATCTCCTCAGATAATCTCATAAATTACTTTACAGCTAAATCAGAATCCCCAGAAAGTCCATCCGTAGGTATTCTGCATGCTATCTCCATCTTTGCCCTTCCCACCCCCTTGGCAGTTATTTGTGGAAAAACCGGGTCCTTTTCCCACAGCAGGATGTGTAATCTGGTTCTTGCGGCTTGCATTCTGTGGTAAAGCAAGACTGCTCCTCCGTCTTGCGTATGTCCCTTAACCAGCTGCCTGTCTCATCCGATGGAAAGGTGTGATCAGACTCCAGGAACATTCCAGAGCCGGTGTGCTGTGCTTGCCCCAGAAGGCACATCGCGTCTTCTTGTTCCTTATCCTTCAGTGAGCCCAACTTAGATGCACTGATTACATGCCAGTGGTGGCGCTGTGGGTTAAATGCTGGCCTACTAGTGGACCAGCCCTCCCAGGAAAGGGAAAGGAGAGGCTATCCTCCGGAAGGACACCGGTTCGGTCACTACCAGTCAGAATTGACACGAGTGATAAGGGAGTTGACCCCGTGGTTGGGCTTGGGACTTTTTGTCTCCAAACATCTCAAGTGTTCCTAGCTCCTTCTGTGTGCTGCATCCTGAGTCATCCCATCAGTTATAAATTCCAGTTCACTCCGTCGTTCTTAAGGTATTTCTGAAATGCTCCTGAACCTGTTGACGTCTTAAAAATTTCAACAATGATTTTTTTTCATATCTTAAAGAAAAATCCCACTGTTTTTCAAGTGTGCTTGTTGCTAATAGTTCTTGTTGATTGATTACCTTTGTGTTTGTATCATTGCCTTTTAAAAAGATATTTCCCCCCAATAAAATGATTTTAAAAACTAAGTCTTCCAACATACGTGGGGGGTGGGGGGAACATATTACAGAAAAAGATATATGTCACACACAAAAAAGGTATTTCCAACAATATACACCTATATCTGACCGTCTTAATAGTGGCAGTTACTGCAAGGCTAAATCCATTGCTCTTTGATCCTGCTGATTTTTGTGGTGGCTGGCATGTTTCTGTGTCTGGCCATAGTCGAGTTCACTGCTTGAGATTTTTTTCCCTCCCGAGGAAAGGAAGCCTCCTACTTCTACAATAGCGAGAGGTTATCACCACCCAGGTCTACCCTGACACCTCTTGAGGGTTTTGCAAGAGACCCAAGACTCAGCCTCCCGCTCAGACTGGTGTCAGACAGACAGCTGCCGGCAGACAGCAGAGTTATCATAACCATTGGTCTTTTCAGTGCTGCCTCTCTCCCAGCTGCCTGGCCCTCGCGCGCCAGTCTCGATCCCATTGCTTTCTTTCTCTGCCCCTCGCGTCAGCTGAGTTTCCTGCTTGGTATCGTTTTCCCCTTTTTCAGGAGACGCTTGGAGACTTCCTCTCCCTGTGCAAGACAGGAGCCCGGTGGCAATAGTGTGTTACGGGTTGAGCTGCTCACCACAAAGTCATCAGATCAAAACTACCAGTGGGCCCCACACGAGAAAGACGAGGCTCTCTGCTCCCGGCATGAGTTATCGTCTCGGAAACCCACAGGGACAGGTCTCCGTCGTACAGGGTCCCTATGAGTTGGAATCGACTCGATGGCAGTGAGCTTGGGTTTTAGTGTGTAAGATCAGCAATGTGTTAGACTTGTTCTTTCCAGAGGTTAGCTATCTGCAATGGGACTGCTTCTATGCATCGTGTGAGCCCTGGTGTCAGAAGTGGGACATCTGGTTTTGTGTGTCTGTACCTGTCTCCCCAGGAGTTCATTGAAGAGTTGCTGTCACCCCCTTTTGGGGGTCTGGTGGCATTTGTGAAGGAAGCGGAGGCTCTGATTGACCGTGGACAGGCTGAGCGGCTTCGAGGGGAGGAAGGTATGAGGATGGTGTGGTAGTGCCTTGGGCAGCAGCATAAGACAAGAGTGATGGGCTGTACGGGGCCTGAGAAGAACAAGTGAGAAGGGGTCAGTCAGAAAGGGGCTAGATGGTAAGGATGGCTGTGTGTATTAGGAAGAACTTACTGGGGTGGAAGGTTGCCCAACCTACTTTCTCTCTAACACTTTCTTTCTGTTATCAGCCAGAGTAACTCAGTTGATCCGTGGCTTTGGTAGTTCGTGGAAAACATCAGTGGAGTCTTTAAGTCAGGACGTAATGCGGAGTTTTACCAACTTCAGAAATGGAACCACTATCATCCAGGTAACGTATAACTGCCAGGCACCATTTCCGTCCTACCCCCAACATTGACTTTTGTCCCCACCTTTCCCCTGAGTTCAGCCCCACCCTTGATGGTCACCTACCAGTGCTGGCTCAAGTTCTGTGCATCTAAACCATCATCACTCGCACTGTACCACCGTCTGATGCTTTCCAAACCTCCTCTGAGCAGGGAGCGCTGACCCAGCTGATCCAGCTCTATCATCGCTTCCACCGGGTCCTGTCCCAGCCACAGCTGCGAGCCCTCCCCGCCCGGGCGGAGCTCATCAACATTCACCACCTCATGGTGGAGCTCAAGAAGCACAAGCCCAATTTCTGACGTGCTGCTGAGCCCCGGGGTCTGCCCGCTGTATCCATGGACTTCGGCACCCCTCGTCTTCACCTGGGCTCGCCCCCCTTCCAGTTCTCCCCTTGCCTCCCAGCCTCTTGACTCTGCCTTCATTCTCTGAGCCCTAACCCAGCAAGATAAGCTGGGTCCCTGGCCTTTCTGAGTCTCCTCCTGTCTTCAGGCTTCCCAGGACCACTGCCCCTGGACTTCCAAAGTGACCTTTGTGTTTTCACTTTGTCACATACCCCCCCCAACACCCCCCCCCCATGGTGACCTCTTCTCAGTACCTGCCTCCATCTCTGACCCTCTCCGCTCTTGTCACCATGTCCTGAGCTGTGAAGCCTCAACCCTTGGAATTGGTGGCAAGGAACGATTGTCTCCAAGTCTTTTTTTAAAAACAAAACAAAACTCAGAATGATTTCTTTAGCTCTTTGACGTTAGATGTCAGCACAAACTGGAACACTAACCCATCCCCGCCTGGCCCGAGACTTACTCCAAGATCAGCCTGTAATAAACAATAAATATTTACTGTAACCAGAAAAACGTCATGCTTGGTAAAATGGGGTCAGTGAAGACGAGGCACGCCTTCAAGGACAGGCATGGACACAGTGGCTGCAGCGATGGGCTCAACTAGCAGCAGTTGTGAGGGTGCCGGAGAACCGCGGAGCACTTTGTACAGTGATATAATGCGGTCGCTCCTAGTGGGGACTGACCCCAGGACCCCTACCCATTTCACATTTCTACACTCCTTTCTTCCTGAGGGCCTTCACCTGGCCCCAATCTCGGCCGCAGGATCACCTTCCCTCTCTGCCTCTGGTCTGGTGGGTGTCCAGAATGAATGGGCAGGGACAGAGATCTCTAAGCTTCTAGATACTTCTGGTGCTGCATTGGTTTTGAGGCCAGGGGAGTGTTTCACCGGAAGTCACCTGCTGTAGGAAGGTCGTCATCACCGATTAAAATGTCCCCTGCAGCAACGGCGGGCAGTGTGCAACCTCTGGCACCGTCCCAAAGGCTGTCTTGGGACGAGCCCAGTACTCGGCCTTCAGACATTGCTGCTCCTGCACCAGCCCTGTGCCTTCTCCGGCTGTGGCTGTCCTGGTGCCTGCTGCAGGGCTGCTACCCTCACACCCAGAAAGGGAAAGCCAGCCGGTTGGCAACTTATTCACACCATCCAGGTCTGGGTTTGATCCGGAGCCGCGTTCCTGTCCGTCTCATTGAACCCAGGTTTTAGACGAGAGATAAGAGGGT